CTGAGAGAAGAGGAAATTTACATGATTAAAATAAGACCTGCAAATAATACCTTGAAAGGGGGGAATAGGAATGATGGAGATAATAATTGGTATCGAGCCATGTAATTTGTGCTGCTGCACAGCTTCATAGATTTCTTGTTCTAAATTATTCAGTGCATCTTTTGGCAGTGTTAATGGCCTTGTACTGTTTCTCACCAGCTTATGATCTGGTCTACTACCTTCCTAGGGAAAATCTGGTTCGCATTTGCCTTAAGCAGTAAGACAGATATTTCTCTTGTTTTCTGTTACTGAGTATTACCTTGTCATCTTTTTCTGGCTCCATTTAAGTTAGGTAGAAAACTTGTGTGAGAGACAGGACTTTACGTTTTGCCTCAGCGATAGGTTTCAGTGGGTATTAAGTGGGTATTACCTTCCAAGTGGCAGAACCTGGGTAGACATTTCACCCAAGAAACTTGCAGTTTATATCAAAATGACAGCAAATGCCTGACATTGATGTTTAGTGATTTTGATTTGCCTGTAGTTTGTGTATAAAGGGTGGGAGTAGAATTGTTGAGTAGCCATGCCATAAATATTTAGAAGACTTTGCCTCCTTGTTCACAGGGAAAAAAGAATCCAGAGAGCTTGCAATTACAATCCTACAAAATGAGTAAGTGAAACAAAGTTCAAGGTAACATTTTATTTCCTACTCTTTTCCAAATAAATGCTGTATACTACAAGAAGCTTTGTGTTTTACTGTCCCGGATTGCCTTGAACTAAAAGCAATTATACAGCACACTCCTACTTAAAAGCTGTTAAATAGTACTTTGCTAAACATCCTCATTGGAGTGCATTAGAGCACACTTATGGTTAAGTCATGAGCAACACAGGATATCCAGTGTTTCCATTGCAGAGGGAGAGTCAAATGGCAGTGGCACTCACTGGCTTTTATTTCACATATGCCAGTTTGTGAAAGTGATAGGCCAGTTTAAAAGTTTCATGTGGGCCCAGTCAGTATTATTTACGCTGACCCATATTTTTCAGTCGTGGGTTGTTTTTTTGTCTGGTGAGTCACTCAGACTATTTTGAACCCTCTACATTTTGGAACAATGGATCTGGGATCAGCACCACAGGGGAGTTATTTTCCTCTGATACTTCGAGACACATTGAGTGCTGTCATCACAGTGGTGGTGTCTGCTCATATATTTACATACTGCACGAGAATATGTCATATCTCAGGATCTCTGCAGTCTGTTCAATTTGCAGAATGAAAGATTAATTACATTATGCTGCCAATGCATTCCAAATATTAATGGAGCTTATTGTTTCTCACAAAACCAACAGTTAATATAGCATCTTCTGATCAGATTGAGGGATAGAAGTATATTAAAAATTCCAAGTAGATTAATTTCCTGTATGAACCTAAATTGGTTTCACACATATGTGTATGCTAAAATGATTGGATCCATCAAGAAAAATAAATTGTAGCCCTTTTCATGGAAGGCAGAAAAGCAGATGTTTACAGACTGTTTTCAGGAACAAGCTTGCAAAAACAATGGATTGGCCAACATTTTACTCAAAAATTAGTTTTAAATGTGTTTAAATTTGCACTCCAATATTCCTAATGTTCTTAGTGTGAACCTCAATGAACTTTATAAGCTGTTAGTCTCAATAAAATACTCACTAATATGAAACATTATTAAAGTCCCTCAGCTTCATTTCTGGAGACAGTTCTACTTATATGTTTATATGCAACACAGGAAAATCTGTAGTGCCACGAGAAGAGCTAATGAGACTATTAAAAAGGGCTAGCCCTTAGCAGGCTTTGCCTGACTGCTGGGTGAGGTCTGGGAACATACACTTGGCAAGCCCAGGGAAACTTCCTGCTAGCAGCACTCCTCCTCGTTTCTTGAATATGACATTGTTTGAATGCCAAAATTTGGACTTGGCTAGCAAGAACTTGACATGGAAAGCCCCAAAAAGAGTAGCAAAGGAAGTAGCAGGATTTTCCTTCTCTGGCTTCTACCACACTGTAAACTCCAAGCTCCTGGGGAGTCCCCCATAGACCCGCTTCCCCTGCCTGCTTTTTGTTCCCACTCAAGCGGACTAATGGCTGTTATCTAGTGCAGGACAGCCCTTCCTTCACCATTTGCTCAGCTCTTACACCCTTGTGTCCCTGACCACCAACTAAATCCTGTTGTTTATAAGTGCATATGACATTTTCAAAAGGATTTGATGCATAGGCGTGGCATCATCTTTAATGTGCCTTCCACCTGCCAGATGACATATTTTACAGCTTTGGTATTAAAACCAGCTTAATCAAACAAATAGGCACACTCTGGCTATGTGATGCAAATACCTGTATACATACATTCAGCCAACATGCCCATTTGCTTGCATTTCCTTAGACGGCACTCCTGGCATTTTCTCCTCATGTACATGTCCATCTCGCAGTTGCCTCCATTTTTACACTTGTAAACTGCATTTTTTGTTATACTTCTTCTGAAGAACCCTGTACAAGACAGCAGTGACATAGATAAAAGAAAACACTGAAGGAAGCAAAAGCAATCAAGTTGAAGAGCACCTCCATCTCCATTGGGTTTTCTGAATGACACATGTTGTGCTGTACCATGAGTTTCTTTCAGTGCCTGGATTACTATATTCTTGATATTTGTATTGACAACATTATCATAGTCATATAATTTAATAAATCACCATAATAAATTACAGGCCCAAACATTAGACATTAGCCCAGACTAAGATTCTGGAACTGTGAATGTTGGGAAAATTCCAACCCAAATCTGAAACCTGCCAGGAGCAGGTTGAGCACCAGCACTAGAGCTGTAGGGTGATATCACACAAATAGCCAGTGAAAAACTACAAGTCTTTTGGGGTACAGGATGCACAGAGTTGAATAACTCATCACTGTTCCCTCAGGTCCTGGGAGCTGCAGATGCTGCACATACTGGTCTGCTTACCCACCCCCAGGTTTAATAAGGAAGCTGCATCATATCTGCCTATTGTGCATGTGGCCTCCTCCCCTGTTTACAAGATAATCCAGCCTCATTCACTAAATACTGCCCACTTGGTGAGTTAAGCAGTCACCTAATTTCAGCTGCACAGGCAGTTTTACTAGTATTGTCAATGGATTCACTCCAAAATTGCACAGAGGTAGCTGCAAACAGCAACTGATACAAGAAATTCAAAGGACCTTTCCTTGCCTTGTCCAAATCTCCTATTTGGCTGTTGCCAAGCACACCTCTGAGAGTGGCACTGCGGACAAAATGTGGAGTGCTTAAGGTATTAAATGTAATTGAATAAAAGAGTCACCACAAACCAACTGAGTCTTTGCTGCCGATGATGACTTGAATGATTTTTGAATTTTTAGTGTGAATCACAATCTTTTTACATTGTCTTTCGAATGGCAGAGATTATTTAATATCAGCTACAGAGGGAATCAGTCCTCCTCCCCATCTGAGGGCAGGTGTCTGAAACAGGCTCCTGGGAGCTTCAGCTGGGACATCACTGATTTATAGTGCACTTCAAACTAGAGCTCTGTCTAAATTTGCATTAACCAGAGCTGTTCACAAAGCTTTTGCTTTCTTATAGCCACTGGCTGGTACAATAACACCACCATGGTTTTCCAGCCTGGCACTTTGAGGCACTAAGAGAGGCACCAGATGAGACCCAGTCTCCCATACTCAAACGATAGGGCAGATTAGGATGTGAATCTGAATTTTTATCCATTGCAGGATTTGTCTGTGTTTTCAGAATGCATTCAGCTAAGATA